GGCCTACATTGGGTGAAAAAGGCCCTTTCAAAATCATCAAAACTTGGTCTGGAAGAGTACATTGCCAACTTTATAGTAACCATGAGAGCAGGACACAACAATGAATCTCTAAATGCCAACACTCTCTATCAGCTGTGCAGATGGCGACAACAATTTTTTCAAGATGCCAACGTAACTTTTCTAGGTGACCGTATCGAACACCTACTCAGGTTGACTCACGAGTTGCCAACACATCTCTTCAGCGGCTACAGCAGCACTTCACCATATCTCATGTCGATAAAACATTGCACAACATGGCAATCTGCTGCAAACGCTGGTATGCATATAAGTTGTCACAACATCTTAGTAGTTCTACCTACAATCAAGCATCGGAGTCTGTCGCCAGCATCCCCGAACGCCAAACACACACGCTCACTCGACACGACTTGACGGACACAGACACAAAGTGGCAAAGTGGTAAAGTGGCAAAGTCGCAAAGTCGCAAAGTCGCACTTGGTTCTGTACACAATGTCGCAGCAAGTCACACTGAAGCACAAGCACTGAAGCCGAAAACTGAATCCACAAACTCAGCTTGAGTCCGGTCTTAAGTACCAGACTCAAGTTGAGTCCGAGGGCAAAGTGCAATTTTCCTTGGGGCTGCACTGAAAATCGAAGGTCTGAGCCTGGGCGCCAGAATGCCGGATGGCGCCAAGTATCGAAATCTGAAAGTGCCAGAAGAGGGATTTGAGAACGGGCGCCAACTGCAAAGGGCGCCAACAGTCAGGAACCGGAGATCAGAGACTCAAAAATACAGCCTGGCGGGTGGTAACCTGCGGACCAGGGATCGAGCCCTGGTTGAGTCTGTAACACTATCCCCTCCCTCTGGAAGGCAACGTCCCGAATGCCAAAGACCCAATGAACAACTATGAAGGACGGGACGGGGCCGATCACTGGGCAGAAAAGGAAAATGGGAGTAATGCCGGTAGCAGGGTAATCCTATTGAGATTCTACAGGGATGAGGGAATCAATGCTCAAGTAACAGGGTAATGCTATTGAGGTTCTACAGGGATAAGGGAATCAATGCTCACGTAACAGGGTAATCCTATTGAGGGTCTACAAGGGTGAGAGTAGCAATGTTCAGGTAACATGGTAATCCTATTGAGGTTCTACAAGTACCAGGGTAGTCCTATTGGTGTTCTACAAGGTTATAGGTTGTCAGGTTGTCTTGAAAGTAGGTCAAAAAGGGCCTGAACTAAAACCCTGGTCTGGTGCCTGAGTTTCAGGGCAGGTCGAACTGATGTGGGCCTGAAAATGGCCCTCAGTTTCAGGCTGAAAATACTCAGGGCCGGAAAGGCCCTGATTTAGCCTGAAACGACACAGGGCCTGTAGGCCCTCGTTTTCAGGCTTTCAGGCTGAAACGACACGGGGCCTGTAGGCCCTTGTTTTCAGGCTTTTGGGCTGAAACGACATGGGGCCTGTAGGCCCTTGTTTTCAGGATTCTGGCCTGAAAACAACACGGGGTCTGTAGGCCCTCGTTTTCAGGCTTTCAGGCTGAAAACGACACGGGCCTGAAAATGGCCCGTGCAGCCTGTTGCAGGCGCATAATGTAACACATAGCTGGGCGCCCCGCTGCTCGAGGAGGCAGCGCCTGTACGAGGTCTCCCAGGTGCTGATGCCACCACCATCACGCTGCTGTTTGTGGGGTTGAAGAACAGCCGCTTTCTTCCTTGACCGGCTTGCTTGTTGCTAGTTGTTGCCATACCAGGGCAGCCATCATCTTCTTCATCGAGGTTCACCTTCCGCTTCACGGTGGATTGCGGCGCTGCGACTTGGTATCTGGCTCATGCCAGATCAGCGCCTGTACTCACAGGCTTGGGGCATGATGAGATGCTGTTTTCAACAGTGGGCTATCATTGGAGGCTGGGGGTCGTAGGGAGAAGAGGAACTTTCAGTGACACTTCGTTGAACTGTATTGTCGGGGGTTAATTGGAGGTGGAACTGAATTCGTGGTTGAGATTTTCGTGGTTGTTCGATAGAGAGGAGGAGAGCAGGGGGGTTTCA